TGTCCCTTGGGGGGCCATGAGCGTGGTGGCCACGAGCATGGTGGCCATGCCCCAGGCTCCAGCCAGGCCAGCCCGGGGGCAGCCGGGGAGCAGGAGGCAGCTCTGCGTCCCCAGAGGCACAGCTTCCAGGACCTTGGCCTGGCTTCTGCCAGGCGCGGGAGGGGTGAAGGCTGTTTGGGGTGCAGAGGAGCGGTGCACCCTCTGCTTACCCAAGATCCTGGCAAGTCAGGAAAGGGGGAAGAACGTCCCCAACCTCAGCTTATCGGGTATCTTTGGAGGGGTACGGGGGGATGCTCGTCTGAAGAGCGGCTTTGCCAAGCATCCCCGACAGAGCCTGCCCGGTGGCGTGCCACTCAGCCCGGTGCTGGGGGAGGCCGAGTTGGTCCCCAGCCCCGGGGAGCCACCTGGGCTGAACCACGTCCCTGTCCCTGCCAGGCTCTGTCCCACCTAGGACGTGCTGTGATGCTGCGGCAGCCCTGATCCTGCAGATACCTCCATAGGTCATGGATGCGTCAAGAGCAAGAAGGGCACCGCTGTTGGGTGGGGGCCGAGCAAACTTTGCAGCAAAAACTGTGGAGGATCTGACCTCCCCGCTGCCAGGTCTGCTGACTCTGTCGGCCACGGCCTGGGCTATTTAAAGCATCACTCTCATTTTCACATGATTTCGAGGGTAATGAGGAAAACGAGCTCTGGCCACGCACTCGTGCTGGCAGGGCTCTCTGTGAGCCAGAGGCTGCCAGGATGGTGTTTCTGGAGCCCCGGTCTCCCCACCGCGGTGAAACGAACTGCAGGCAGCAAATACAGGCAGCTGGAGGGAAGGATACGGTCAAGCTGTCCATGCTGTTCTCCGGGCGATAAGGGCTCTGGGCTAGACCTGGAGCTCATGGCTCGTTTTTTTTCTCCTTGGCTTTGCTCTAAGAGGTGCCGGAGCTGGGGCTGGCCCTGGTCATATGGGAGGTCAGGGTAAAGACCTGGCTTCTGCCTTGGTCTGTGCGTGTGTGGGGCTGCTGCTGGTGCTGGAGATGCTTCCAAGGGCAGGACGCAGCCGGTCCAGGCTACTGGACCAGCTTGGGCAGTTTGACGCAGCTTTTGGAGTCCTTCTGAGGGTGAGACCACCTCCTGCCCTGGTTCAAAGGGACTAAAAGTGGACCGGGGCTGCTCTGGCTGGGCCATGACCTCTCAATATGTGAGGGCTGCAGCCCCCATGCCTTTGGGGGTTCAACCCGCATCGCCAGTGGCACCGGCTGCTCTGGGGCTGTTGCCTTCCCGTCCGGCCCATGCTGTTGTGCTGGCGCTGCTTTGGGCTCGGTG